TAATATTCTTGCATCAAAGACACGTTAAAAATGTGGTCCTTAAGGACTGGTTTTTCTAGCTCAATAGCGAAGCTGCTAAAGACTACTCCACTGTTATTCTGCCCATGCTTCAAGCTGTTCTGTGTTACTTAATTAACTTTCGTTCAGAAGATGTAGATTCTTCCAAGTAACAGCACAACCATGTTGTTCTCAACTGTTTTCAAGAGTATCTCTAGATGTTGATTGTGTCCTCCTTTCCTACATTAAGCACATTTTAAAAAGACCTCAGTTGAAGTTTTATGACAGAATCTGGTCTCAGCATTAGTACACTCTCCCAAAGCAGACATGATTAACAATGTTTTCATAAACACCAGTTACTGAGTCCAGATAGCACTAAAATTATGATATATTAACAATACATTCATTAATTTTGAAAAATTTAAACAAAAATACAAGAAAGCTGATCTCAGATATATGAAAAACAGAAAAATACTTCATCAGCTAAGATTACAAAATTTTGTCTGAATGATAGCATTACTGAAAAATTAATAAATTCATAGTTAAACCTTAAATATCTATTGTAATTCATAAAATGCTTCTTTTATATACCCTACTACTTGTAGCATTTATCTCACTTGTCTAATGTAGTATGTGGAATATTATTGTTTTTAATAATCTTTGGTGTTTCAGTGCAGACTCGTATTGTAGTATATATGGATTGACTAACACATCCAGACACAGAAATTGTTCGCAACTTCTAATTTTTCCCATACGAAAGAAACCCATGTTGTCTTTTATAAGTGATCCATCCAGTAAGCCGTGATGCATCAGAAGGCCTCTTCCAGCAACATCAGCCTCTACACTAAAAAGTCCTTTAATAACTCTTCTCAATCTCCAGTATTCTCAAACTGCAAGCAGGCTAATCTCTATTTACCTCAATTATTCTACACATGCTTCTCCCAGAACACTCCACACACTTTATACTAGGGTTTATTCTTTGCCTAATATCTTGAACTAAGCATCTGCATCAGATGTGGCAGCCCTCTGAGACGTACGGATGTCTACTTCTTATTTATTCTCCTTATATAGCTTTCCAAAATCAAATAGTAAGATTTCATGCTAGGCTTGGTATCTCTTGTTTGGAATGCTAGTAGAAGCCTCCACTGATACATTCTATAAAATAGACGTATAATGCATACAATGCATATCAACTCCTGGCTTCGTGGCTGGTGCTGTCACGAGGGTTTTTGCTTGGATCCACCTGTCTAGCAGAGGTAAGGGAATCTTGGGCAGCAGACTGGTCAACTTGGTGTGGCGGGCTTTAAACTGAAGCACTCAGGGCAATGGGACCCAAAGTGGCAATGCTCGTGCCATTACATCCAACCGGGGAATAAGCCAGGCCAATCAGAGCAGCAACAAATGTTCTTTCGCTTTCTCCCAAATTGAGAGCCAGAAGCCCAACCACCTTAAGGGTATGCATGGCTACAGTGGATCCTCTGGCACCCCTCCAGGGAAACCTGCATGCTCTATTACCTCTCTGAAATGCCTATACACCAATGCACGCAACATGGGGAATAGACAGGAAGAACTAGAGATCTGTGTGCAGTCTCAGGGCCATGATCCCATTGCAATTACAGAGACATCGTGGGATAGCTCACATGATTGGAATGATGTCATAGATGGATACGCACTTTTTAGGAAAGACAGGCCAGCAAGGCAAGGTGGTGGAGTTGCTCTTTAAGTGAGAGAGCAACTGGAATGTATCGAGCTCTGCTTAGGAGTGGATGAAGCATGAGTCAAGAGCTTATGGGTAAGAATAAAGGGACAGGCTAATACTGGCGACCTTGTTGTGGGTGTTTACTACAGGCCACCTGATCAGGAAGAAGAAGTCGATGAGGCCTTCTACAGACAGCCTAAAGTAGCCTCACGATCACAGGCCCTGGTTCTCATGGCACCGTGCTATCTGCTGGAAAGACACCACAGCCAGGCACACACAGTCCAGGAGGTTCCTGCAGAGAATTAATGATAACTTCTTGACACAGGTGCTGGAGGAGCCAACAAGGAGAGGTGTGCTGCTGGACCCTGTACTGACAAACAAAGAAGGACTGGTTGAGGATGTGAAGGCTGGGGGCAGCCTTGGCTGCAGTGACGATGAGATGGTGAAGTTCAGGATCATGCATGGAGGAAGCAGGGCAGTAACTAGGATCACAACCTTGAACTTCAGGAGAGCTAACTTTGGTGTCTTCAAGCACCTGCTTGGAGGAATCCCATGCGTTAGGGCTCTAGAAGACAGGAGGGTTCAAGACAGCTAGGTACTATTCAAGAATCACTTCCTCCATGCTCAAGATCAGTGCTTCCCCATGAGTAAGAAATCTAGCAAAGGAGGCAGGAGACCTGAATGGATTCTAGCAAAACTCAAATGGAAGAAGATCTACAGAATGTGGAAAGAGGGACAGGCCACTTGGGAGGAATATAAGAACATTGTCAGAGTATAGAGCAATGCAATGAGGAAGACTAAGGCCCATCTGGAATTAAATTTGGAAGGGATGTCAAAGACAACACGAAGCGCTTCTTCAAGTATGTCAGTAGCAAACAGAAGACTAGGGAAAATATGGGCCCGCTGCTGAATGAGGTGGGTGCTCTGGTGACAGAGGAGACAGAGAAGGTGGAGTTACTGAATACCTTCTTTGCTTCAGCCTTTACTGCTAAGGCTGGTCCTCAGGAATCCCAGTCCCTGGAGGTAAAAGACATATCCTGGAGAAAGAAAGAGCTTCCCTTGGTCAAAGAGGATCAATTTAGAGATCATTTAAGCAAAATGGACACCCACAAATCCATGGGCCCCAATAGGATGCACCCATGAGTACTGAGGGAGATGTCATTGCTAAGACACTCTCTGTCATCTTTGAAAGGTCATGGAGAACAGAAGTGCCTGAGGACTGGAGGAAAGCCGATGTCACTCCAGTCTTCACAAAGGGCAAGAAGGAGGACCCAGGGAACTACAGGCCGGTCAGCTTCACCTCCATCCCAGGAAAGATGATGGAAGAACTCTTTCTGGAGGTAATCATTAAGCAAATGGAGGAAAAGAAGGTTATCAGGAATAGTCAACATGGATTCACCAAGGGGAAATCATGTCTGACCAATCTAATAGCTTTCTGTGATGGCATGACTGGCTGGGTAGATGAAGGGAGAGCTGTGGATGTAGTCTACCTTGACTTCAGCAAGGCTTTTGACATGGTCTCCCATAACAGCCTCCTAGGGAAGCTCAGGAAGTGTGGGCTAGACGAGTGGACAGTGAGGTGGATTGAGAACTGGCTGAATGGCAGAACTCAGAGGATTGTTACCATCAGCGGCACAGAGTCTAGCTGGAAGCCTGTAACTAGTGGGGTTTCTCAGGGGTCAGTAATTGTCCCAGTCTTGTTTAACTTCTTCATCAATGACCTGGATGAAGAGTTAGAGTGTACCCTCAGCAAGTTTGCTGATGACACAAAACTGGGAGGACTGGTGGATACACCAGAAGGCTGTGCTGTCATTCAGCGTGACCTGGACAGGCTGGAGAGTTGGGAGCAGAGGAAGCTGGTGAAGTTCAACAAGGGCAAGTGCAGGGTCCTGCACCTGGGGAGGAATAACTCCATGCATCAGTACAGGCTTGGGGTGGACCTGCTGCAGAGCAGCTCTGAAGAGAGGGACCCGGGCGTGCTGGTGGACGACAGGTTAACCATGAGCCAGCAGTGTGCCCTGGTTGCCAGGAAGGCCAATGGTACCCTGGGGTGCATTAAGAAGAGTGTGACCAGCAGGTCAAGGGAGGTTCTCCTCCCCCTCTGCACTGCCCTAGTGAGGCCCCATCTGGAGTACTGCATCCAGTTCTGGGCTCCCCAGTTCAAGAAAAATGAGGAGCTACTGAAGAGAGTCCAGCATAGGGCTACTATGATTGATGAGGGGACGGATGATTAGGGGACAGGAGCATCTGTCCTATGAGAGTCCAGCATAGGGCTACTATGATTGATGAGGGGACGGATGATTAGGGGACAGGAGCATCTGTCCTATGAGGAAAGGCTGAGGGAGATGGGCTTGTTTAGCCTGCAGAAGAGAAGGCTGA